CCATATATACAGTCACATTTTTACTAACTATGGTTAAAGAATCATAACTCAAGATAATGCAGACAGAAATGTTGAACTATAACCCAATGATATTTTCAAAAGATTATGAGAAATTAAGTACTCAGTTCTGTTTTCAATGAGTTCTGTTTTAGAGTAATCCAACTCTTGACATTATTTTAGGAAGTACTGAGCTTTAACTCTCCTTTCCCCATTTCTGTGTTACAGAGTTTAAATCAAATACTACTTGCACATCCTGACACTGTTCCTCAAGAGCAATGATATACAGTGACTCAGTCAATGGACTGTCATACTCAAAGATGGAGAAATTCTTCCTTCAGTATCCAGCTTAGAACCATGTAGATAGAACCAAGTAGTGAATTTCTTTAGTAGGAAGGATGCATATATAGAATGTAAACAATGTTATATAATTCAAACTCTCTTCTTTACAGGAATTGCTTAACTTCCAGTATTATCTCCAAGGTGGGAATAAACCTTGACAAATCCTTGCCAGTACCCTTCCATCCACTGCTACTACCAGCACGTCCTTTCTCCATCAAGTGCTAAGGAACCTATGGTTCCATTCCAGTTGTTAACAGCAAGCATTTAAATGTTACAAGATAAGGGACCAAAAAAATGAAAATGAGAAAAGAATTTGCATTTAATCCTTATCATTACCTTGCTCCACACACTTTTTTAAAAATTTCCCAAGAAATGTTTGCTTATTTACAACATATTTGATTTGAGGATGATTTCTGCTCCTGGCTTATATTAAGACTTACTGCACACTGGCTTATTTTTTACAATTTGAGCTAAAATGTTAGGTAGCCCTTGGGCTAAGTGTTGTTGCTGGTCTATACAAATTCCTACCAAATATGGCTAATCCTAATAAAATAGTTACCACTGAGAAATTAAGATTCACAGTAGAATTTCACTTTGCAGATTTTTCTATGGATGATTTTTCAGCATCAAATCACCAGGACTTTCTTCTTAGGTGCCTCTGAGTGGGCTTACACTGAACTTTTAGTTACTAGTCAAGCACATTAATTGTTTCCACTACTCAGAGACTCAGTAATAATCAGTATTTATTTTTTATGTCTGCAAGCTTCTGTCTATAAGTGGAAATAAACCTATTATCTGAGTAGTAAATTGTTTGCAATATATTATTATTAAAGCTAGTTAAAATTTTTATATCAATTACTCACCATCCACCACCCAGCCTGGTATATAGAGAGCTTTATTCAATGGCTGCCTCAGGCTTCGTGTGACAGTATTTGCTCCTCCTTGAACCCGTACTTTTAAGCTATACCTGCCATTTTCTGTATAATTTGTAAAATATCTGGAGTATACACCATCGTTCTTGAAAGAATCAGCACCTTGTTGAAGAGAGAATGAATACATTATTATTGCAAAGAGCAAGAAAAATATAAGCATTTTCTAATTACAGGACTTTAATAAACATACACCTTAATTGAGTTTCCAGCTTTGACACTGTTTCCTTGGTGAATAATACCACTATGCTCTGCCAGAAGTTATTGTGAGATGTGCCACA